GAATTATGGATGGAAGAACAACAGCCTTTCAGTAACTGAGCAATGAAGGGGCTCTAAAATGAGCCTGTTCATCTTATAAGCATTGCCTGAGTCCAGATTCTAATTACTAAGAGTCCCAGGCATCTGAACACAACAATAGGATGCATGAAAGAATGGAGAAGAACAACATTTGGCACATAGAAAGGCTATGTATATCTGCTGTTTCTATGTTTTGTTTTGTTTTAAATCTGCACCATTACCTTATATTCTGTGACTGGAAATGCATAATTCTGTTACATATAAATTTTGCAAACTAAGCGCATGTCTATGCATTTCCTTAGACCAGGGGTGTCAAACTCAAATTCATCGGGGGGCCGCATCAGCAGTTTGGTCACCCTCAAAGGGCCGGTTGTTCAGGCAGCCGTTGGATCTGTCACATCACAGGATGGCATGCGCTCAATATAAAAACAAGTGGAGATTTCCTGAATGCATGTAAAGTGGAGGTTTCCTGTGTAGAATGGCCGGCGCCGCTAGAGGGCAGACGTTCTCTGGCTTGTAGGCTGCCGCGCATGCGCTGAAGAGGCGGCTTTCTTGTGTCAAAAAAAAAAAGCGAGAATAAAAGGTGAAGGCTGGCGGCCGGCGGCGGCTACACGGGCCACATGACGAGGTCTGGCGGGCCGGATTCGGCCCACGGGCCTTGTGTTTGACACCCGTGCCTTAGACTTTATACTTTTTTCTACTTCTGCTCACTGTAGAAAGAAGGAAGGAGCTATGAAATCTTGTTCACCAAACGATTCATCAGTCATTTCCAACACACTTTTAAAGTGGCCCTGCTTTTAGAGCTATATACACTTTTTTGGATGTATACTGTTTTTAAATGAAGTTGCCAGAATGTTGACATTTGCAGCCAAAACTCAATTCTCTGGCATTTGCATGGATTTGCAGAACTAGTGTCCTGCTTACAATTTAGGCTAGTTCACCCACTTAGTAGTCCAGTCCTCCTAAAGAGCTTTCCAAACTTTTCGTGTTGGTGGCACACTTTTTAGACATGCATCATTGCGCAACACAGCAATTCTGTTTTACTAGCAAAAGAGATTAAACTAACCCCTTTCCATCCCCGGGAGGAGCACAGGGAGAGTTTGTGCGACACACCTACACACTGCAGCCGACGCACTAATGTGTCACGACACACAGTTTGGAAAGCTCTGTCCTAAAGCAAAATATCTAATTACGGAGTTTTGCATGCAGGCTTGAGCGCAATCCAGAATACTCCTAGCTTTATTAGTAAACGAGCTCATGAGTGTTTCCTCACTGACCTTTCGCCTCAGAGTCACCTTTTAAAAAAAAAATCTCCACCAACCCCACACAGGCATGCAACATTTCAGTCTGTGAGTGTGCAACAGAGTTAATGCAGGGTGCCAGATTTGGGGTGTGACATTTTATTGAAGTGCTTCTTAGTCAATCGGCTTCTTGCCGGTGAGTTAAAAAAAACCCCAAACAACTGCACACACACAATCAGTGGGGATTTTGTTTTCTTGATAGGTGGATTCCAAGCATTAGACAAAGCTCTTTTGATTTTGACACCCAAAGGGTGAGAGGAACAGTTTACAGTAGCTTGGCTGTTACTATCCTTTAACAGTAGTCCTTCTGTTGCTGATAGGAAGAGAGGTTAGGCCAGTTCTAGTATTCTTGTTTCTGCTTTTTTAATTGGCACATAAAGATGGTTCATGGGCTGAAGGAGTGAAGCTTTGATGATAATACTGGAGGTTTTACAAAATTCTTTCTTGTCCTTCCAAGAACAAAACAAAAAAGCTTGTTTTATGAATGTATACAACAACAGCAAAGAACATTGGCAGGCAGGAATAACCAGCTGCACACATATAAGATGGGGAACACCTGGCTTGCCAGTAGTACATGTGAAAAGAATCTAGGGGTCTTGGCAGACCACAAGCTTAGCATGAGTCAACAGTGTGATGCAGCAGCAAAGAAAGCTAATGCTACTCTAAGCCATATCATCAGAAGTATACTATCTAGATCAAGGGATGTCATAGTACCACTCTATTCTGCCTTGGTCAGACCACACCTGGAGTACCTGGGAACCACAATTTAAGAAGGATATTGACAAGCTGGAACGTGTGCAGAGGAGGGCTACCAAGATGATCAAGGGTCTGGAAACCAAGCCTTATGAGGAACGGTTGAAGGAACTGGGTATGTTTAGACTGGATAGGAGGAGACAGAGAAATATGATAACCATCTTCAAATATCTAAAGGGCTGTCACATGGAAGATGGAGCAAGCTTGTTTTCTCCTGCTTTGTAGGGTAGGACCCGAACCAATAGCTTAAAGTTATAAGAATGGAGATTCTAACTAAACATCAGAAAGAACTCTTTGATGGCAAGAGCTGTTCAGCTGTGCAATGGAGTCCCTTGGAAGGCGATGGACTCTCCTTCATTGGAGGTTTTAAACAGACAGATAGCCATCTGTCAAGTATGACCTAGTTGAGATTACTGCATTGAAGGAGGTTGGACTAGATGAGCCTCGGATTCCTTCCACCTCTATCATTATATAATTCTGTGATCAGATTTCAGCACACATTTTTAAATAAAGCTATCTGCTCAAACTTTTAAAGAGACAGCTGTATCTATCAATGCTGAAATCAACTTTCTGTTCGGCTGTGATATATATTTCTCAATGAATGTGCTTTCTGAATTGTTTCATGTAGTGGTTGGTATTATCTGCTCAGCCATTTGACTGCAGTAGCTTCTGATATAGATCAGACAATGTTTGTCATCAAAGACGCTTATACCTTATACAGTGGTACCTCGGGTTAAGAACTTAATTCGTTCCGGAGGTCCGTTCTTAACCTGAAACTGTTCTTAACCTGAGGTACCCCTTTAGCTAATGGGGCCTCCCGCTGCCGCTGCACCGTCGCTGCACCATTTCTGTTCTCATCCTGAAGCAAAGTTCTTCACCCAAGGTACTATTTCTGGGTTAGCGGAGTCTGTAACCTGAAGCATCTGTAACCCGAGGTACCACTGTATAAAAGCTTTGTACCATGATAGTAACATGCAGGTAAGATACAGTCTGCTGGGGCAACTTTCTGACCAAATCACGATGTCAAGAGGGGTCAGACAGGGTTGTATTGTATTCTTGCCCCCTTATTGTTTAATCTTTTTAAAACTGAGGAAGTCCTAATGAGCCCAGATGGACAGCACCCTAAGCTGGGGGCAAGAAGCACCCCGCTTCTATTATATGCAGATGGCACTGCTATCCTCTTACGCTCCAAATTTGGGTATGTTTGTCATTATTGCTGCCATTACAAATATAAAAACCCCCACTTTGGTACCATGGTGAAAACTCCCCAATCTGCAATGCTAGCCACTATTTACAAACAATGTGATGGTGCCACATTATAAGAATTAATCCTGGCAGCAACATTAACCTATTTTCTTTCCTTTTTTAAAGGCTCCGTATATCATTGAATATGATTGATTTATACCTGGAGAGAAAAAATGCTTGTTTTAGACTGGAACTTTTATGCTACTTTCTATTAAGATGGAAATTTCATGACCTGAGTTTTGACTGCCATATGCAATAATAAATAAATAATCATTTTCAGAGTTTTCTAGCAACTAGGCTGTCTTAGGCTACCCAAGTACCAAAATGACAACTTTCCAAGTTGTGTGGAAGTACCTTTCCCATACTGGAGTACACTTTGAAAAATCCACTTATGAGACTGGCGTTAGGTAAAAATCTTACCATTTGTAGCTTTTCTTGTCATCAGTTTGCAAGTCGCAATAAATATTTGCAACTGTTTTTTTTTTTTTAAGGCTAACAACCCATACAATGTGTTCAGAGTCCTGGGGCTGCTCTTCAAGTGCCGTCACTGTGTTCAGTCCAAATTTATCTGCCACATCTGCAGGGTCAGATCCTGAAGAAAACAGTTTGTTGTGGGAGCCATCCCCACACCATCATGGCACCCAAAAAACCTACTTTACCTTGATGCCAGAGTAGCTTTGCTCTGAAAAAGTTGTTGTCGTTGAATTAACGAAGTAACAAATTAATGGATAGATACACAGAACCCTCATGTAGTGCTTACATAAATAGGAGTAAAAAGGCAAACAGTCCACCAGAAACATAGAGGAGGATAAGATTGTCAGTGAGTACCTACTTGTCTGTCCATTGATATCTGTGTATGTATCTATGTACCTATCATTGGTTGCTCATGACTTAGGTCGGGGTGAGTGGAGACTGGCATCCTCTTAGCATTGCTGAAACTCTGCTTGTTGGGATGTGGCAAGGGGGCAACAGCAAGGTTGGGGGGAACACCAGGTTGGCTGGGGCAATCCCACAGGTGTCTACAGGTATCTGTGAGACTGCTAAGACCGTGTTCATGGAAGACAATCTTACTCGGCTATGAGTGATCACCAAAAAAGAAAGAGACCACTTGGAAATCCACCAACCTCACCATGCTCCATTCCCATGCTGACAAGCACAGTAGTGCTGCTGCCAGGAGAACACCATAGACCCCCCCCCCCAGTTACAAGCCACCATTGGTGCACATTTGTCACCAGGGTTGCCAGCAGCTCAATTCCCGCTCCCCTTGCAAGTGACTGCCCAGAGAGCAGCAGGTTATTGAGGCATCAGCAAACAGGCCCAGCATCAGCTCTTAGGCTGGAATGGGTATTCCAGGGCCCACCACATCACAGCATCTCTTCTTCTTCCCCTCCTCCTCCTCCTCCTCCTCCTCCTCCTTCTTCTTCAATGTAGGGGGAGCCAGCCAGGCATGTAAATGGTTACAGATGGTCTTTTTGTTATTTTTACTCTCTCTCTTATATATATATATATAATTCTATGACTAAATGTTGCTTATTTCCAAGTAAATGTGTTTAGCATCAGGGTAGCAGGAGCAAACTCCTTTTTATTCCCATAGTTATGATGGAGTTGTGGTGTCAGCGTGTTTAAAATGGGAAGCTGAACATGCCCAGAGCATTTCTTTCTTTGTTTTAATCAGAGTTTAACACCTTCAGATAAACGAGACATTTAAACAGGACAGGAAAATAGGTTTCCAGATGGAGAGGTCAAAATTAGAAACAGAACTGTTAGAACCCAATACTAAGAATCTGTCGAGAATGTATAATCTGCTGTTGAAATGGAACACACAGGATGAAACGGTGAAATCAGCTATGATAAAATGGGCACAAGATATTGGTCATAACATTATGTTTGCTGACTGGGAACAGTTGTGGACCACCGGTATTAAATTTACGGCATGTAATGCCTTAAGAGAAACATTATGAAAATGATGTATAGGTGGTACATGACCCCAGTCAAGCTCGCAAAAATTTATCATCTGCCCAATAACAAATGTTGGAAATGTAATGAGACTGAAGGTACTTTTATCACCTTTGGTGGACATGCCCGAGGATAAAAGCTTTTGGGAAATGATCTATAATGAAATTAAGAAGGTTCTTAAATGGACCTTCCCTAAAAACCCGAGGCTTTTCTCCTGGGCATTGTCGGCCAATTGGTGAGAAGGAAGGACAGGACGTTTTTATGTATGCGACTACAGCAGCAAGGATTCTTCTAGCAAAGTATTGGAAGACACAACAACTACCCACACTGGAAGAATGGCAGACGAAGGTGATCGACTATATGGGACTGGCGGAATTGACTGGCAGAATCCGTGACCAGGGGAAAGAGACAGTGGAAGAAGATTGGAAGAAATTTAAAGTTTATCTTAGAACTTGTTGCAAAATTCAGGAATGTTAAAATGTCAAGGGGTTGGGAAATAGAGAACTGCAGCTGTAATTAATATTATTAGAAGAACTTAAAAGAAATTGAATTGAATAATTAGTTAATTGAGGAGTTGCTGAAGAAATATAAAACAAGGATGCAGAAAGGGGAGGTATGGGGAAGTCCGGAAAGTAAGGCTTATGAAAAATGGTTATGAAATTATACATGTTTATATGTTTGTATGTCGGTGTATTGTGTATTGTTTGTTTTCTTATCTTGTGTTTGGAAAATGAATAAAAATTTATTTAAAAAAAATAACACCTTTTTGTGCATAACTTTTTTTACTGACGCTTTTTTGTACTTTTGCTTGAACATATCTGAATTGTAGAAGCAGTTGTACAGCATGCAGTGGTGCTTAATTGTGGGTGCTCCACAGATGAAGCAATATACATGGCCTGACAGTGTGTGTGTGTGTGTGTGTGTGTGTGTGTGTGTGTAAGACTACTAACTCCAGAGTCTAAATCTACCCCAATGCTGATACACCACTGTTTGGCATTTTAGTTGCAAAACTGGGAGAAAGCCAGGTTCATTTGATGGCTGAAGAATGTGCTTGGAATTCTTTCCTTTCAAATGCATTCATGTAGAAGTGCGTACCTCAGGAGTGAGTGAAGCCTAAGCATTTTTATAATTATTTAAAAGAAATCTTGCTTCCAGGAGTGTACAATCACCCAATAAGATATACATAGATGTGAAGTTGCAGATATAAGGGACTATCTACAAGGACATATCTGCAAAAGCCATTTCATATGAATTTTGTGGACTTATGCCTATTATGTTCCATCAATACAGCTTAGATTGCAGTTGTGTGATTTATGTAGAAACCTATTGAATACTAATATGGTGGTGTCAGCAATTGCAATAAATATCACTATGTTCACATCTGTTTGGCCTCTTTAAAAGGTGCAATTTGCATTCATATATACATGTGTGGGGACACGGGTGGCGCTGTGGGTTAAACCACAGGGCCTAGGACTTGCCGATCAGAAGGTCAGCGGTTCGAATCCCCATGATGGGGTGAGCTCCCATTGCTCGGTCCCTGCTCCTGCCCACCTAGCAGTTCAAAAGCACGTCAAAGTGCAAGTAGATAAATAGGTACCGCTCCGGCGGGAAAGTAAACAGCGTTTCCGTGTGCTGCTCTGGTTCGCCAGAAGCGGCTTAGTCATGCTGGCCACATGACCCGGAAGCTGTACACTGGCTCCCTCGGCCAATAAAGCGAGATGAGTGCCGCAACCCCAGAGTCGGTCATGACTGGACCTAATGGTCAGGGGTCCCTTTACCTTTACATGTGTGAGTGTGTTATATACAGCATATATATATTGCATAAAAAGCAGTGAAACCAAATAAGGCTGCCCCTTCTCTCCAGCAGCAATACGCTGTGATTTCAGAACATCAGATTTCAGAAGATGAGGCCAGCTGATCTTTCTTTCCTGATGGTCCTCCTTGACTGCAGCTGCTGCAACTGACCCAGCAGGCCTTGTTCCTATGGCAGTATCTTTTTAGTGCTGCATTCAAATGGGCAGCGAGAAGATGTCATCAGGATGGGACATCTCTTTTGTTAGTTTTTCTTTAAATTCATTGGTTGCAAAAGTCAGACCTGTTTCAAGTCTGTTAATAATACAGTCTTTATATTACAAAGAATGCAGAAAAGAATGAAGGGTAATTAAAAAAAAGAATATGATTGCTTTTAAAAGTCTGCTAAGGCTGCAGTCCTGACTACACTCACTAGGAAGTAAGTCCCATTGAACTGAATTGGGCTTAACGTCTGAGTATGTGAGTAAGCATGCTTTGTGTAATGTGTAATGCTGCAATGCTGCAAAATGCTGTGTAATGCTGCAAAATAATAAAAATTATCTGCTTGCTGCAGAGGGAAACACATATAGGCCCTGGGGTGCTTGCTTAAGTGTCCTGAAAGAGGAGTTTGCCACAGCTTCTTTTGTGACCTCCTTCATTATTCAGTATAATAAAGAATGAGTGATGCCTGTCTTCACCTCCTGCAATGCAGTGATGTGTGTTAAACAGTCTGAGGGCCTGGGTCAAAGAGCGAGTGAAGGAGTGAGGGGAAGGGTCACTGGCATATATGGAGGTGCCTTTGTATGTAGGACCCAACCTGCTGTTTGATTGCCTAGACTCGGCTGGAGACGAAAAACAAAAGATGTTCTCACAGTTGTTGAAGTGTTACAGGTCACTGTGGATACACCAACAATTAACTGAAACAAGGGGAGACCAGGAATCCACCATAAACTTCTTCGTAGCACAATTTAAAAGAGCTACGTGTCAATTAACTGCTCACAATGAGTGTGTTCAGACGTAATAGCAAACAACAGTTTAGTGCCACAAGAAGGAGCCTAGCCTCTCCACCAGGCTTGTATGCTCTTTCCCTCCCATGCGGCATGTCTGTAAGGAGATCATAAACTGTCATATGAGTTTTAGATGGACCATAGTCTACTGAGCTTGAAACAAGTTGATCTTAAACACCGTTAGTGAAAACAAGCCAGCTTCATGAATTAAGGGTTGAGGGTGGCTTGCTTTGGATGGTGGCTGTTGCATATTGTTTCAGAAAGCGTTGATTAAGTAGGTTCACCTTTAAATGCAAGCTGAATCAAATTTCTCCCTAATCCCTATTCTAAGCTGGAACTGTATGTAGTCACACAGTCTAGGAAGGGAAGTAGTGAAGTGTAAGTAAGATCCATGTTTGGTTGACCACATTTCAGCAAGAACAGGTCTTTGGTCAGAGGCAGAGTGCAAAAGAAACACAAGTTTCACATGCAGTTCAGTTTCTCTATAATGAGCTCTTCCACACTTCTGCTTGTGTCGTGTCTAGAAGGCACAGGTGCAAGTGGTTTTCCCCTTGCCCCACTCCTTTCCATAGAAAAACCTGCTCCTTAGCGATAGATTGGAACAAATAGCAATCTGCGGAAAAATCTGTATTGCTGTTTGCTCCGATTGAGTGCTAAAGAGCAGTTTCCCCCGGGGGGAAGCAGCTGGACAAGAGGAAGTGTGGATAAGCCTGGTGTTGCAGTGACGGGGGGGGGGGAATGCAAAGGCTATTGTTTGTCCTGCTTCCAACTTTTATTAGGACACGAAGTGCTTGCTCCTGAGTAGGGATGAGCAAATCTGATAGTTTCAGTTCTCCTAGTTTCTTGTTTTTCCAGTCTTAAATTAAGTTCTCCACATTTCTGCAGCTTGCTTTTTAAAATCTTCAGTGAAGTTCTATGTGGATTTCGCCCATAAAAGAGCACATATATGAAAATGATACCATTTCCCCCTCTTTATTTCTGGAACACTGAATGTGAGTCATTGATTATCGCACAGTGTTATTCTAAGGCAGGAATGCATTTTAAAAAAAGTCAATGGCATTAACATGATGAATTCCACAATGAAAATCAATAAGGGTAATTAGTTAGTCAAAAAAGGCATTTGGGCCAGTCACTTTCTGTGGGTAGAATCTGTGATCTTTGTTCAACTGAATGATTGAAAAGTAGGGCTTAGGCCCAAGTAAAGTTATCATGAGCAGCAGAATCCAATAAGGAGTAATTTATGGACTGAACTGTGCTGCATAGATAATCCCCTGGAATTTTCCTTTGATTCGTGTAACTTCCATCAGAACAAATCTCTCAGCAACACAAACCACATGAACTGGATATCACTTAGAATTAAGGATGAAAAAAGAATCATGTTGGCTGAGAGACATCAGTTAATTCAACAAATTCTACACAAGGGCTGTCTTCCTGCTCTAGAAAGGAAGATCTGGACATGTGGGGGGGGGGACCCCTAACACAATTGCTGTGAGTTGTACTATGCCATTGGCGGCACATCTCTCCATTTCTAACAACTATGGCCAATTAAATAGAACTCATGGAGCATTTTGTTTGTGTGTCAGCAAGGCAGAGTTGAACAGCTCCAACCCCCTTGCCTCTACAGCTCTCAGCAGTTACTAGGCTGCTCTTGTGCTAGAAGCCACATGCTCTGCAGACATGTAAGATGAGGTACAAGCAGTGGCGTAGTGTGGGGGTGCAGGGGGGGCCGGCCGCACCGGGCGCAACATCTGGGGGGGCGTGCTCGCACTCTCAGCTCTCTGCCCCTACCTGGCTCACTCACTCTCTCTCACTGCAATGCTGGCTGTGCGAATCCGATCCGAGCCGCTGGGTCGCCGCCCACTGTGGAGGGGGTGGGTGCCAGGCATGCGGTGCAGAGAGAGAGAGGGACTATCTGGGGGAGGGACAGTGCAGCGGCTGCCCAGTGCAGCGCTGAGCGCGGGAGAGAACCACACCAGACCAGCCCAGGCAGCAGCAAGAAGAAGCTGGCAGCGGCGGCAGGTTAGGGGTTAGGGGGCGCAAATTACTTGCCTTGCCCCGGGTGCTGACAACCCACGCTACGCCGCTGGGTACAAGAGACTAGTAGTGACTTTGCTTCCTCCCTGGTTCTTCAAAAGCTGTACCCTTGTGTTGCAGAAGTGCTTCCTATCACTTCAGTAAGGGTAGAGGGTCAGAGCACACTTTTTTCTTACATGGAAGTTCAGGCGTTTAGTAGATGGGACACTGCAAGATCACTTCCAGATGACCTGCTTATTGTGCATTCATCCTGATTTGTTGGCACAAAGTTTGTGGGGAGGTAAGCGATGTGGGCTGTTGAGCATTCTTTTGGGTATATTTGTCGTTGCATCAAGCAATCATTATCCGACACTTCCCAGTGTGTTTCCTTGTCACTTTCCTTATCTCAAAAAGCCCAGTTTTGGGAGAAGTAGTAGATTTGTTGTACATGAACACCAAATCAACTCAAACTGTGCAACTTGAATTTGCTGATATGTAACTGGATTACACCTGAAAATGGTGACAGTCTGGAAGCACCCTAATAGGGCCTTTTCAGTGGCCAAACCTAGATTGCCTTACCTTTGAAGTTCAAATGGCGGCTTATGCTGCCATTTTCAACCAGTCATTGAAGAACTTTCTAAATTGGTGGACTTTTGCTGCGTTGCCTTAAATAAGATTGTTGAAGATGGAGTGGGTTTTTAAAAAAATAAATCTGCCACACATGCCTTTATTGTTGTACCCTCTACCTAAGTAGGGTGCAACCTATTGTGCATTTAGCATAGAAAATGAATGCTTCAGATTTAAAATTTATTTTTGACAAAACTTCACATTAAATTCCCTTCTCTCCATTTGAGTAGTTGAGCTCAGACTTCTTCCACAACTGCCAAAACTTTGACAGGA